TCACGGCTTGCCCTGGACTGGATATACTGCAAACTTGTCTACCAATGATTGTCTTCCTCATTAATTCAGTTTAAACAATTATTTTCTGTATTTTACTTCAAACGTCCTCCCTCTGTTCTACTGTTCACACCCAGCATCTATGGAGCCTGAAACAAAAACAAAGACAGAAAGAAGTCTTATTCAGACGGGACTAGTTTTCCTGAAGGAAATTAGAGAAATTCGTATGTCGCAGTATGTTGCTGCATCTGCCAAGTCTGGGTTTCTCTCACACAATCTCTGCACAAATTCCAGAGCAAATTAAATCACCGTTTGTTTTCCAGCTTTCTCCTCTAGGAAAATCCAATCCCATCTGAATGTGAATGTCTGTTACTGATATTATATTTTCACACCTCTTTTCCTCATGCATATTAGCCGACGTGTACTAGATAATTATTGTCAACCCTAAATCTGAATTCACTCACTCACTGTTTTTTTTTTGTATAGTGACAAAATGTGTGACAAAATATGCAGTGATTTGGGTTTGCAGGACCAGGATTGAAAATATTTATATTTTATTTAATGTGATGCCCATTTGTCCAGGGTCGTTGCAATGTCTCATATGTCACATATTGACATCAAGACCCCTTGGCATCCCTTTTTAACACACAGTTGCAACTTTAAGTATCAATCTAGGCTTATTAGAAAAATGTGCCTCTACCAAAAATATTTAAAAACTCTTTGAAAAATGACCTGTACATACAATTCACTGCATTGAACACTAGAGGCAGTAAAACACCAACAACTTTTATTCCCCATTCACACAAATTATGATTACGGGGCAGATTATTGATTAACAAATACTCTTTTTCTGTATTTTAATGTCTATGTTATGTGCTCAAAAAACTTTTACCATAGTGCATGATTTATCATGATTAAATAATCAGCTTCATATGTATGGCTGATCTGATAGTAAATTTGCTCATTCACTTATCTGGTACATCATTGAACTTGCTTGGGTAAATCCCGTGAAACACAAGTCACGATAAAAGAGCTCAAAGACTTGTAGAAGCAAGATAAAATAGGAAGGTTGTTTCATCAAATGCGTTTTCTTTAACAATAACCTTTAGGTTTAGGGTAGAGTTTTGTTCAAATGTGAGTGTATAAAGTGTCCAATGTTCCACATTTAGTTTTTTCAGTTAAATGAGTGCATCATCTGGGTATTAAAAATGCACATTTTGGTTTCACTTTATTTTGATGGTCCCTTTAACACATTCTGTTGACTATAAGTAACGTTGCACCTACATGTCTACTAACTCTCATTAGAGTGTTAGTAGACTGGTAGGGTTAGAGTTAGTTGACATGTAGTTGCTTATAGTCAGTCGAGTGTCTGTTGGAGGAGCATCACAATAAAGAGTTAGCAGACATTAAGCAGACACTAATACTCTACTGAGAGTTAGTTGACATGTAGTTGCAAAATGACTTATAGGCCACAGAATGTTCAAAAGGGACCATCAAAATAAAGTGTTACCAAAATTCCGGAAAACGGAATAGAATTGTGCATAAGAATGCAGATATTGCATATCTGTAAATGTGAATACATGAAGTGTCCAATGTTTCACATTTAGTTAAGGGGTTGTTCGGTTAACATCATTCTCTTAACAGACATTTACATTGATAGTCTGGCGTTATAATTTATTTGCGTTTGGTGAACTGTGGAGTGGGTAAAACTGTTTTTAATGGCAGGCTAGCAGTTACCGTTGACTCACGCTAGCCTAGCACCGGCGAACTATGCAACTGGAACGACTGGATGAAAACTGTCTCCACTGATAAATAACACACAGGCTAACTTGGAAATGAGGCCCGATGTCCAAAATCCTGAACCACCCCTTTAAATGAATGCCTCATCTGGGTAGTTAAAATGCTTTCAAATGCATTTTTTAAAAGTTCTTAGAAATGGTAAGAATGCAGATAACGCATATGTTAGAAATGTAAATGTAACGGTGTTGCAACACTGTGTTCTTCTGTTGCCAGATGCTTGAACCCAAGCAGGATGAGCCATGTGACCTCAGGGGCCAGAGAATGACCTCTGAGGAGGACCAGTCCCCGGGGAACCTGTCGGACGCTTCGCTCACCACAGCGAGCCCTCGGTCCAGGAGTCTCACGCTGCTGGAGGACATGTGTACCTCTCTGGAGGAGAACCTGGTTCCTCCAACACCTCCACCCTCCACTGAAGGAGAAGATGGCAGAAGCACAGAGAGCAGCGTCCACGAGGATGAGGGCAAAGAGAAGGAGTTCTTGCACGCACACTCACGAGACTGTGATGAAGAAAAACAGCTGCTTGTTGATGAAGAGAATGTGTCAGATGCGCTGGACACCAATGCTCCCCCTTCATCATCATCCTCATCATTTGTCATCCCCGAGCTTCGATTAGATCGCTCCTTCAGTGCGGACGCCCTCTCCACCCCCGGCACCGATGAAGAGTATGAGGATGAGGATGAAGAGGAGGATGATGAAGAGGAGGAGGAAGATAGTGACGAGAACTACCTGGAGCGCAGTGACAGTAAACGCAGGAGCATGGTTGAAGCCTCCTCATGTGAAAAGCACCCGAGTGGACTCAGCGTGCAGAACTCCCTGCGCAGACGCACACACAGCGAGGGAAGTCTTCTCCAGGACCCGCGCACGACCTGCTTCACTTCTGATAACGCCATCCACTGCATGGAGGGCTCAGGGACACACACGGGCGGGTGGACGCTTCCCTCACCCAGAACCCTGAAGAAAGAGCTGACGAAGAACGGAGGGTCCATGCATCAGCTCTGCATGCTGTTCTCCGGGAGAAAAGTAAGTCCGAAGAGTTTATTCATAATTTCCCTTTGCCATGTTAGTGAGATGGTCCTCACTGCAGAACACGAAATCCAGGGGGAGGAGTTGGATCCAGATCCAACTCCTCCCACCTTACATATACTTAAACCTACCCATCTCCGCCCCCTGATCCCTAACCCCACCCCTAATAATACCTATCTCCACCCCTGATCCCTAAACCCACCCTAATCCTACCCATCTCCACCCCCTGATCCCTAAACCCACCCTAATCCTACCCATCTCCACCCCCTGATCCCTAAACCCACCCTAATCCTACCCATCTCCGCCCCCTGATCCCTAACTCCACCCCTAATCCTACCCATCTCCACCCCCTGATCCCTAAACCCACCCTAATCCTACCCATCTTCACCCCCTGATCCCTAAACCCACCCTAATCCTACCCATCTCCACCCCCTGATCCCTAAACCCACCCTAATCCTACCCATCTCCGCCCCCTGATCCCTAACTCCACCCCTAATCCTACCCATCTCCACCCCCTGATCCCTAAACCCACCCTAATCCTACCCATCTCCGCCCCCTGATCCCTAACTCCACCCCTAATCCTACCCATCTCCGCCCCCTGATCCCTAAACCCACGCTAATCCTACCCATCTCCACCCCCTGATCCCTAACCCCACCCCTAATCCTACCCATCTCCACCCCCTGATCCATAACTCCACCCCTAATCCTACCCATCTCCGCCCCTGATCCCTAACCCCACCCCTAATCCTACCCATCTCCACCCCCTGAAATACTAACCCCACCCTAATCCTACACATCTCCACCCCCTGATCCCTAACCCCAACCCTAATCCTACCCATCTCCACCCCCTGATCCCTAACCCCACCCTAATCCTACCCATCTCCACCCCTGATCCCTAACCCCACCCTAATCCTACCCATCTCCGCCCCCTGATCCCTAACCCCACCCCTAATCCTACCCATCTCCGCCCCCTGATCCCTAAACCCACCCTAATCCTACCCATCTCCACCCCCTGAAATACTAACCCCACCCTAATCCTACACATCTCCACCCCCTGATCCCTAACCCCAACCCTAATCCTACCCATCTCCACCCCTGATCCCTAAACCCACCCTAATCCTACACATCTCCACCCCCTGAAATACTAACCCCACCCTAATCCTACACATCTCCACCCCCTGATCCCTAACCCCAACCCTAATCCTACCCATCTCCACCCCTGATCCCTAACCCCACCCTAATCCTACCCATCTCCACCCCCTGATCCCTAAACCCACCCTAATCCTACACATCTCCACCCCCTGAAATACTAACCCCACCCTAATCCTACACATCTCCACCCCCTGATCCCTAACCCCACCCTAATCCTACCCATCTCCACCCCTTAGATCTAGATCCAACTCCGCCCCCTGGATCTCGTGTACTGCAATGAGGTGCTACTGATGTTAGTTGCTTCAGCTGATATATTAGTATAAGCACCACTCTTTCTTCACAAAAGCACATGCACAGCACAGCACAAGACAAAGACACAAGGAATAGTTCACCCAAAGATATAGGGCCCTTTCATACGCCCGGTGTTTTTTGCTAGTTTCAGCCCGACGCAGTTATCATTTTCACGTCCTGCGCCACATTGTTTAAATAGCAAATGCATTTGCACCCATCTGTGGTCTATGGGCTGCTGGTCTGAAAACCAGGTGTGTGTTCAGGCGCATTGTTGGCGCATTGCTATTTTGAGGAACTGAAATAGACGGAGCCGTTGACCAACTGAAGCCTGGTCGAAAGTCAATGGCGCAGTTTTTTTTTGTTGTTATTTAAGGAGTGCGTTAGTAATATGAGCCTATCGGCGGGTCCACAACGCGCGTACACTTTGTCCCGTGGATGGTTTACTCGTGTGTGAGGTTGAAGCTCGCAAGCAGACCATCTACGGGACAAAGTGTACACGCAAAATGTAGAATCCGTTTCCTCGCTAGAGAAGCGTTCAGTTTTTCCGCTTGCAAATTCCGTCATGTAAATAGCGAATCCGTCATGGTGCGAGCGCAACTGGCTTTTAAAGGGAATGGGAGATGAGACTCTGATTGGTTTATTGCACATTACGCCCAAAACACACCCATTACCCATTAAGAGAATAGAGACAACCCTTTTAGACCATGCACTGGGCGCACCGACTATTTTTCTCGTCTTTAAACTAGCAAAAGTGGATCCGGAAACGACCTGAGTGCACTTGCACCGTGCGCTTTAGACCATGACCAAATGCCACGACACCAACAAAACCAAACCATCCAAAAAAAGTAACTTCTTAAGAATCTTAAATGAGTCCCAAACCGAGCTGAGGAAACTGATCCTGCTATACTTTAAAAAACATTTCCACAACAAGGGATACAAACAGAAACTAGAAGTGAAAAAATTTAAAGAAAACTAGATTTCAATCATAATCTGATCACAATCACAATTTGTATTTGTCTTTTTACCGGTTTTGAATTTGATTATTTGGCTAGAAACCAATAATATGGGTGGTTTTAAGTATACAAGATATATACTATATATAAGGTAAATTTTTTTTTTTTTTACAATTATCACATTTTTTTTAAATTAGTCGATCTTGCAAGGAGACGCATCACTATTCATCTTCTTCCTTCCGTACAAATTTTGGCACCTAAAAATCCTCCCGCCCACATTTTCTTCAGAACATTTACATATCTAGTTCATGAATATCATTGTGTTTTAGGAAAGTCATGATATTTTACAACATGTACTAACCATGCCTTGTCATATTAAGGACAAACTATCTGATCTATTTATTTATTTAACTTTCAATTGTGTTTTAATTGGTTTTGCTTCATAGTGAAAGTCAATAATAAGATTCAAATTTTTTCTCAAACAACATACTCTTATTTTTTTAATCATATTTTAAAACAAGTAGTTATCCATATTATAGTCTTCCATTACATCAGTTATAATCTTGTGACATGAATTTTTTTAAAATAGGGCCCAAAAAATTCTATCAGTTACTCACCTCACGTCTTTCCAAACCTATGATATTCTGCTCAATGTAAAAAATCAAAAATCAAAAGTCAGATTTTTTTTATCATTTATGTTCTTTGCATAAGCATTGCAGAGCGAAGGTTAGGGTTTTGATCCAATCACATCAATTCATCATGAACAATAGAAGTATTGACACTTGCCTTCATTAAACACCAATAATTCGTTTCTGTACATTTTCCCAGACATAAGTATGGGACCCTGTAAACATTTGTTTACTTGAGCACCGGTTATGCCTTGCCTTGAAATACAGTGATTATTGATATACAAACAGCACCATTTCAGTCTCATTTACCCCTCAAATATCACATAAACAAGGTGCATAACACGAGTGAAAGACAAATATCACAACTTGTATTTGTTGAGAGAAAAGAGATATTTTTATACTAAAATATAAAATGCATTGGATATTAGATCATACGTTACTGTGTTTGGGTTAGTAATTACTTTGTAAGTACTGAATCATAATAAAAATGACGTACATAAAACGCATTTACATTTTGTAGTTGGTATATATACACAGTTATTGTGACTTTTGTGCTACAGTGATATAATTAATTTTAATGTGTGTACAAAATGTTGCTGATATTTTCATGCTCATCATTCATCCTTGATATGTGATGATATGTGTTGATATGTGTTGATATATGATGATATGTGTTGATATATGTGTTGATATGTGTTGATATGGCCAGAATGAATGGCTGTGCTCTCTGTTTTGTCCACTAAGTGGCGTTCTGTCGATTTATTTAGCTCTTTAAGCAGTTTAAACAGTATTTGAAGAGGTTATCTAGACAAGCTCTTTTACATGTTTGTGTGCATGTCTGTCAATGCAAGCAAGTGTGAGTTCTGTTCATAATAGAAACAAGTATAAACCATATCTAGCTTTTCTAAATACCTTATACTGTGCATTACTGCAGACAGAGAGACGTTCCTCATCTTCCTTCATGAAGACCACTGCAGGGTGATGTTTCTCTTGCTTTCATCTCTTATTTCCGCCTTTTGCTCAAGGCTTTTGAGTAGTTGTGTTGTTGAGTTTAGTTTGGCACATAAAGTCGCACACATGCAGACAGGTGCATGCTGATCACATAGGTCAAGGGTCAAGCGATGGCATTTTTCTGTTCATTTACTGTGCGATGTTAAAAACAACAGGATAAACAATATCAATATTAGCTTGAACTTCCACTCATTTTAAACTCGAGGTAACACATCAAAACCATAAGCGTCAGACTAATATGAATTGTCAATGAAACACACAGTTGAGTCAGTTCTGTTACATGTATTGGTCAAACGGATTAGCAAAATGGTCTGGATAAGAATCATTTGGACGGCTTTATCGTTTGAAAAGGTTTCATGCTTTGTAAAACTGTAGCACAATACTGATAACAAAAAGAGTACTGTGGTAAAAGTGAATTTTTAGCCTAAATTTTAACGTAAAAGTATCATTTATTGCCATGGTAGGTACAGTATATATTAATGTAGCTTGATATTACCACCTGATGCTGTCACTGTAACATGATACTGCTATATGAAGTCCTTTAAAGATGTTTTTTTAGTCAATAGTGACATTAATGCTACACAATATACTATAATAGTTAAATGTAAAAATGGTGCTCTCAACAAATGTATTGGTGCTGATTTTGATGAATGAAAAAATATATATATCTTCACCCTGACAAGGGGACATGAAAGATAAGAGTGCATGATGGGAAGTCTTTGTTTTAGTAGCTACTAATGAAAAGTGTGTGTGATTAATTCAAAGTGAGTGAATGAGGTGAATGATTCAAAGTGAGTGAATGAGGTGAATGATTCAAAGTGAGTGAATGAGGTGAATGATTCAAAGTGAGTGAATGATTCAAAGTGAGTGAATGAGGTGAATGATTCAAAGTGAGTGAATGAGGTGAATGATTCAAAGTGAGTGAATGATTCAAAGTGAGTGAATAAGGTGAATGATTCAA